GAGAACCACCATCAATTTATCAGCATCTTCTGGTGTCCTCTCCCAGCACTCTTCTTGTACTGCCTGTAGTTTTCTGCTGTAGCCTGCATCTCTATATGGCACACATCTATAGGTCTGTGAAACTCGTCCTGCAGCCACTGTGAGGACAGAAGGATGTGGGACAAAGTGGACAATTTCTCCACATGGACCATCATTGAGCTGGCATGGTAGGTCCTGGGAAAAGTCCCACAGGAAGGGATAGTCATCAAACTGATTTCACACCAAACCCTTTCCTGGTACTTCTCAAGTCTCCCTGTGTGCTTTAGGTGGAGCCCTGTTAGGTAACTGCACACATGTGACCCCGTGACACAGTTTAATAAAGAGGCAAAGGCTAGAAGGCAAATCCCAACTTTCTGAAATGTGCAAACAAGTTCTGAATCACTGAAAAGCCCTTGTTTTTAAAATTTAAATTTGGGATTCTGAGTTCTACTGTGAATTTGCAACATAGGTAACCAGTAAGGACCACATAAATATCAGTTGGGAGATCATCAGCTTTCACACACAGTTTGTGGGGTTACTTAGAAGCAGTCTTTTAGGGTGGAAAGGGGATGGGTAGGGTGGTATACATATGTAATTCCAGAATTCAGGAGGCTAAGGCAGGAAGATCTCAAGTTCAAGGACAACCTTGGGTATAGGATCCCTGTCTCAAAAAACCAGACCAAAAAAATAAATAAACTACAACAGATAACCATTGTTTTAATATCAATGTCATGCCTCCTGTGATAAAGCCTATACAGTTCAATTTAAAAGCTGCCTCTCCACCAGGGACCCTGTCTAACTCGGTCCTTTATAATTCCTCTCTGGTAGAAGTTGGCATTGAAGTTTATCAAGGTCAAAGAAGGTTTTGTGTTATTTTTTTTAAAGGAAAAAACTTCCATAACTATTGCTATAGATTTGGCTATTTATCATAGTTTGTGGGGTATTGCTTTGTTTTGTAGCCTTTAAAGGGAGCGAACAGCAAAAGACAAGATTCCAAACAGAGTTGGACAGCTCCAGGGCTGCCCTTTCCTCTCAGTTTTGAGGCAACCTGGGTTATTTCTAGAAGTGCCATCCAGAATTTGGCCTGGGGTCTGAGCAGCCCTTGGAGCAAATTCACAGTTAATCAGAAACAGCAGGGGCCAGGCAGGCTGTTGTGGGCAGGCACACTAGCTTCTAAGGCCTCTCTTTCTATCTCTCACACCAGAAGTTTATCTAGCAGCATCCAGGACATGTGAACCACTGTCAGGAGGCCTCCTTCCGCCAAGGACAGAGCCTAGGGCCTTCCTGCCCAGCCTCTTGTTGTTTCTGCCTTTCCCTGAGCTCCCAGGGCAATATCATTACCTAACAGGCACTGAGCCATTGAGTGCCAAGGACTACAAGCCAGGTCTTGTGAATGTTATGTCGGCCTAGGCATGGGGGGCGGGGGGGTGCGTGGTTGGAGGCTGTATATTCCTGGCCACTGGAATGCCTTGTCTGTGGCTGGAGTACAGTTTTATTTCTCATTTCAGAATCCTGCATTTCACCTATTAAATCTCTTTATTTATGGTATAAACTGCTTATGTTAACTCTAACAGTTTCATGCTGGTTCTGCTGTAGAAGAATAACGTTGCCATACCAAGACTAAGCTGTCCTTAACACTAAATAATTCAAGCTATATTCCCTAAGGCTGGCAATTACTGTCACCTTCCTTTGGATGGAGATACAGTGAGATATAGAGAAATACAAAATGAGTTCCTTGCCAGAGGCCAAAAGCCATAGCAATAATCAGACTTAATAGCTTCCCTGCCCCTTCTTCCAGGTAGTGGAGCTGTGGTATTCAGTTCCACGTCAAACAGACCTGAGTTCAAATCTGGAAAACAAGTGCCATACTTTGTATCTAAAAGCCTAGCTATGCATGTTATGAGACAATCAGTGGCGGGTGCCCAGTAAAACAACAACAGCAACAATGAAAACAACTTTAAAGAAGCCTTTACTGAGCTAGGCACTGAATGCTATATTAACTCCTTGAAAACTTAGGGTGGCATTATTATCACCATTATTGCAATGAATAAACCACGATACACAAGCTAAATAAATCATTTGTTTAAAGTCACGCAAGTGTTACATGCCAGAGCTAGGCTATGTGCCTAGGCAGTCTGACCCAGAGTCAGTAACTTCAAGACTCTTTCCCAATCACTAAACTCAAAGAGCCCCTGACCACTCAGGCACACACATACTGTGTTATTAAATTTCATATATACATTTAAGTATGTTCTTTACTGTTTCACTTTAGGCAAAGTATATAACTCATTGTCTTCAGTCTCTACATCTGTGAAATGGGGATGCTCCCACGTCCCCTTTCATAGCATGATTTGCTTAGAAATACAGGTGTTAATCCAGGTGAAGGGCTGGGAAGAGTACTTAGCTTAGCACTTAGGACAGGCTTTGTGCAGGAAGTACTTCTGCTGTCCAAACAATGTGGTATACTATGAGAATTCTCTGGCTCCCATGCTTGGTCAGGATTTTCTGTCTGGCTGCATCTACTAGTCTCAAATGCCTATAAACTGTTCTGTAGGAGACATACTGCATTTAAAAATAAGATTTGAAGTTCTTATTCAATGAAAAGAAAAACAGGTCCATGGGATTCTGGTTAGAAAGAAATTAAGTCAGACCTATAAGAAATGAGACTAAAAGCAAGAGCCTATATAATTAAAAAAAAAAAAAAAAGCCAGAGCAGTCTTCCCAGAGGCTTTTTAGGCTGTGTTCCACCCACTGGATAAATGCGATGTCTAATGGGCAAAGAGCTTGTGAAAATTTTATGGCTTGGTTAAAAACCTTTGGGTGATATAGGTTAAAGTGATTTTATCTCTAACACTGTTGAATACCAGGAACTTTATAAGTGGAAAAGGGTAGCTTTTGTGAGCATGTTAGATATAAAACAAAATACCACATTAAAGGAAAATTGGAGAGCAGACAGGGCAAACCAGCTCAGGGAAGCCCTTCTGCAATCTGGTTACAGCTTTCTGTTTATGCATCTTGCACCACATTTCAATTCACAATAAAAAGCAAAAAGAAAACGTGCAACACTTTACTCTAGCTGCTTTCTAGGTCCCTGTGAGATATGAGATGGGATTTCAGGGCTCAGATTAGGGGGGCGAGAGGGAGGTCATCTTACTTCATGTCTGCAGGGGCTGCCACAACCTCAGCACCATGTTCCAATCATGGAATTCATAATGTAAATCTCTAGCAGATGAGACGGCTGGAAAACAGAAACTGCCATGGACCCAGAAGGCTTCCAAAGTTCCCCTCTAAACTTCCTATCTCTGAGCCCCTGGGCCGGCAGTCCTGTCTGATGCCATGGGTGAGGCCTGTTGGGAAACCTAGGTTCTCCATGAAGGATTTTCAACCATTCCTTCAACAGAGAAATCATCTATGTATTTCACACCTGACGGTGCTAGACATTTCACAGCTGTCCACCTCTTTTCAACATGCTTTTTTTTTTTTTTTTCTGAAAAGGGTGGCTGTGGCTTATTCCAACTGCTCATACAATTTACAGGTGGTGGAAAAGACTTCTCAAACCATCCAGAAGAGAAGCTGCATTTCCTAATTGTCAGATGAAAGATCTTTTATAGTCAGAGCATTACAGAAGTCTTTTAATGGACTTAGGGATACCCCTGGGGCATCCTCACTGCTTCCTGGTGAGGCTTATTCTCCCTGTGAGTTAAGGGGAAGTCCCAAAGCTGGGTTTGTTTTTTTTTTTTTTAAATTAAAATAGGGACATCTGCTGCCCTCCTAAGTTTTTCAAGGCAGCACCCCCTCCCCCAGAATTCTACCATACTATGAAGGCTAAGAGCTGCCAGAGTGGGGAAGAAGCAAAGGGAAGCTTTGTCTCTAAAACATACTCATCTGTTCCCGCCCTAGAGCCCCCAACACTGCACACATCAGCAGCCCACTCTCCCCCAATACACCAGGACTGGAAAGATTCATGTTCCAATCCCTGCCTGACATTCCTCTTTCCGCCCTCATTTTCATTCACTCACTTTAAAAAAAAAAAAAAAATGTAATTACTTGACTGTCAGCCTGGGCTGCACTCTGGGGCTTTTACTCCTTTCAACACAGCTGTGCTCCCAGCTTTGATGCTGCTGTCCACGCAGCTTGTCCCAGCCACAGCCGGCTCAGTAATGTAACATTCAAGTGCATATTTATTTTTAAACTGACCTCTCCTAGACTGTGCAGTTTAAAGCAGGTCCTGCCAAAAAATATGCTACTTTCTATTTATAAGATGAAACACATGCCTTCCAAAGAAGAGAGGAGGATGGGGGTACAATAATTCATAAAGAAAAAAGTGACGGGCCAGATCTATTTGTCCTCACATGGCTAATACTTGTCTGTGTCAAGACACTGAGAAGAGAAAGAGGATGAGGACGAGGATGAGGATGAAGAGGAGGAGGAGGTGGAGGAGAAAAAAGGCTCTTGTAAATGCTTCAGCTGTTCAGAAACCACAGTCAAAAGAAAAAAAGATTCAACAGCCAGATCTGCAGGTTGGAGCCCTAGCTACAACGACCCCCTCCTTCAACAGGAGAGAACACAGAGGAACCTAGACACTGCCACCGCAGAAGTGGACCGGTATGCAGCCACCGTGCAAACCCACAATCAGAGGGTCGCAGTAGCCAAGCGGCTAGTTCGGATGGAAAAACGCAACACACGCCCAGAACGGCTGTCAGTGATTCGAAGGGGGCTGTGCAGCCTGTAGCCCCACCCTGAAAAGTGTGGCTCGAACAGTGTGGCTCGGCATCCTGCTGTGCTGTGATGCCCTCTCGGATTGCTTTATTTCCCCTTTGGTTCGCTGGACATCCGCTAAAGAAGGCGATGCTCTCGGTATCGATACCCCTCTCTCCCCGCTGGGTCTCCCACGTCCAACACCACTGCTCTAGGAAGGGTCCAAGGTCGTGAGTCGCATGGACTCACAGGTGGAGAAGCAGCCTGGACTGGAACCAACTCACCAGCAGCCGCTGAGGATCCCCGCCGGTGTCCCGGGGCCGGACCCGGGGCTGGACACCTCCGGTGGATGCACACAGACCCTACCGGTGAGCGCAGATGCAGCGGGTCGGCAATTGCTCACCGCATTATCCGCTGGGGACCTAGCTCAGTCTCGTGTCAGGCGGTGGCAACAGCCCTGGGTTGCCTGTCTGCGTGCTGCCGCTGCCGCTGCCGCCGCGAAACCGAGCGGTAGGAGGTGCGCGCAACACTGAGCGCGCAGAGGCCGGACGCGCGCCCTCAACCTGCGGAGGGCGGAGCCAGGCTGGGGCGGGGCCGAGGCGGGGTAGGGCGGGGCCAGTGTGGCCGGGCAGGGGCTGGGCGGAGTGCGCTGGCCGCCCGGTACCCTCCCGCCGCGGTACCTGTCTCCAGCCCGGAGCTGCGGGGGGAGGAGGGGGGCCTGGCGGTTCCTCCAAGGACAATGGTCACCCACTGTCACCTCCCAGTCCCACCTCCCTCGGGATGTGGCTTCCCCCGGAGGCAAGGCCCCCGGGGCTCCTTTGGGCACAAAGGAAGATCTGGGGGTACTAGCTTCAAAGAGAGGACCCCAGACGCACGGTGCCCGAGGACAATAGAACTCGGGGACCCTCGCGCTCAACCTCGTGTCCCGCCTGTCCCTGTCCTACCTAGCCGATCTCGCAGTGCCAGGCTGCGCGCGGCGGGAGGGCGGCCCGCGGGCAAGCGGGACCACCTGGCCACGCCGCCCCAGCCCTACGGCAGGTCCCCCCCGGGCTCCGGCATCCCGGGCTCCGGGATAGAAGGGGAGGGTCTCGTGCAGTCAGCTTCCAGATCGCAATCCTTGGAAGCTGCCGCCAAAACCCGGAGCGCGGATCCTGCGGGCTGGAGACGCGGGGCTGCAGGCGGAGCTGGTGCGGCGCGACGAGAAGCGCGGACGCAGCAGGTTTTTCCTGTGCAGAGAGAGGCGTTTCCTCCGGGTTTCTAGGTCTTTCAGAGAGATTTACCTAAAGCTGCGGAAGCTGGTGGCGGCTGCCTGGGACGTACGGCCAGGCACTAGGGGCGCAGCTGCGGGCTCGGACCGTAAAATTCGGCCTGTGACGACACCTGCGCCTGTCTGTCATCCCGGGCGCGGCCGCCCCACGCCCGCCCCTCGGTCCCGGCACCTGAGCGTGAACCCAGGGAATTAATGTTAATTTTCTTAATGGGTCTGCGTCTTTTCCTCCTCCATTCGTCAGCCTGGTAGGAGACAGGAAAAGGAGACGCTTTCCGGCCATGAGGTCCCAGACCGCTTAGTTGACCTGGAAAGGGAGCTGAGACCCGGAGTCGTTGCACGCTCCGGCCTGACCCCAGCCCTGGGACTCTCAGGTTGCCTGGAAATCCTGGCACAAAGCAGAGCTCCTCCAGAAGACCTTGACTTTCCCAAGTGGTAGGTATTGGCCTCAGGTCAATTGACCTGGATACCCTCTGGCTTGTCTGAAACTTCAGAGTGCATGTTAAGCCCAAGTCGTAAACCGCCGCGGATGCTAAGGTGAAGTTGAAAAGGAAGCGGACACAACTGTTCTGGAAAGCAAAATACTTGGGTGGAGTGTTAAAAGCCTCAAAAAAAAAAAAATAATAATAATAATAGCTGGCAGGTTAAATGGCCATGAGGTCGGAAGTCAAATACAGAACTCTGCTGAGGTGATACCAGAATTCTGACAAGCAAAACAAGCCATGCAGATTTGAAACCCCGCATTGTTTCCTTTCTTAAAGTGACAACTGCTCCGAAGTTTCCTTTGGCAGATACCTGGGTTCCACTCCAGATTCCTGAGTTTTACTTGGGAGTTATATTTCAAAATTTATGTTCCATTTGGCACTAATGTATATATTTTATATGTGAATTTATTGAAAAATATTAAATGTTACTGGCCTAGTTAGATAAAGGTATTTTTATAAATATTTATGCACAGCTTTCATTACATATGGTATTTTTAAAAGTACAAATATGTGTGTATATATATTTATAAAATACCACATGAAAAATTCCTTTTGCACACATAAAAACATTCCTTACACATATGTCTTATGTGTAATTTTTTTGTTTGCATCTATTGTTAGCTGATGTTAAAAGCACTGTATTTCCACATGTCTAAGTAAATAATTTCTTTTACAGTTTGTGCACATAGAGTGGCAGGTGGTTGGAGGTAAGAATTTTGTTCCAAAATCCTGTTTTCACTTTTATGTACTGTTTCTGATAGTTTAAAGAATTTGTGTCCCTCTCTATCATTTTAAAATGAGACTTTACCTTAAACAATTTATTCATAAGCCCCCTCCTTCTGTTCTTCAAAGGCCTGTGCTGCTGGTCTGACTTATTCTGGTTTCTTTGATGCCTCGTGTTATTTATTTGTCCTGAATACCTCCGTAAGGAGAGCTGCCCTCATGTAGTGAATTTTCTTTCCAAATGACTTCATTTCCTGGGTTAGCTATGGTAGCTGTTAGGTTTGATGGGTTTAGATGTCAACATGAAAAATCTGTGGTAATCTTGGAAGCCTAATTGAGACTAATATTTGTATCATACCTGCCAGGACCAACATTAGACTACTCTTCTATTGGTCCTGATCCTGGAGAAGGGCTAAGAGGTGCTGGCAGTGTTCTAAAACCAATCTACCCAAGGGACAGAGAACAACAGTGTATGCTATGCAAGCAGGATCTGACCATACCTGCTCGGAGTATGATCTGGGGACCAACAGCCACCTTAGATGCAGCCACCCCAGATGTGGCCTACCTTGGTCTACTCAGTAGAAATGTTCTTTTGAATGAAATGTGAGTGTTTTGCACACCTTTTTAGCATTCAGGAAACACTGATCAAGAATTGTGTTTCTTTATCTTTTGAATCACAGACTCATTTTAAAATTTCATAGGTATGATTATGCACCCCTATAATCCCAGCACTTGGGAGGCTGATGCAAGAGTATTGAAAATTAAAAGCCAGCCTTGCTTTCATAGGGAGACCCTGTCTTTAAGCAGAAATTTTTATAAATTAATTAATTTTTTAAAAAATCACACAGGATCATGAACACGCTTCTTAGGAAAACATACAAAATTATACATGAAGTCTCTTGTGTAATTCCAGTGTTCTTCTGAAGACAAATCTACTGCAGGCAAGGAAATCTGAAATTAGACCCCCAATCATGAAAGAAGGCGAGCCACCCAGTGTCTTCAGCCAGAGAAATCCTTAGAGGAAGCAGAGTCATACGTGAGCCTTGAATGTAGAGCAATGGGATAGGGAGAGGAGCAATGAGAGCCATTTCAGGGAGGTGGAATGTATATGTGAAGGGGCCCATGAGGGGAAACACCAGGTATCTTTTCATATGTGTTATTGTGAAGCGGAATGAGAAGATTGTTGTTTCATAACAAGTTTCTTCCCCTCCACACTCCCTTTCTCTACCTTTTTCCCTCCTTCCTTCCCTCCCTCCCTTGCTTTGAGACAGGATCTTATGTAGCCCAGGCTGACCTCAGACGCCCTGTGTAGACAAAATGACCTTGAATTTTTGATCCTCCTGCCTCAGCTTCCAGAATGCTAGAACTCCAGGCATGCACCACCAAGCCTGGCTCATAGCAGATTTTCTTTGCAATTCCTTATCATCTGTTTAACCTCCAAAAAAATGAAACCAGACTGTAGACTGGTTTTCATTCCGCTGGTGTGTCTAGGAAAGGCACCCAAGAACTCTGTGTCATGGAGTTTCACATGAGACGTCATTTCTCATTACTAGCTCACTTTTCACTCAGCCTTGGCCATGTCAGACATCAAGCTGCTCCACAGCTCATTCCAGGGGATCTCTGCCCTGACCTGTCTGGAACACTTCTTCCCCAAAGCATCTAAGATTTCCTTCTGTGTTCATTAAGATCTTTTTTCAAATGAGATTTCAAGGGTGAGGCTTTCGCTTCCCTAAAATAGCAGCCCCACCCAAATTCCCATTCCCTGAATAAGGCAGAAAGAGTAATTTCTTCATTACCTGACATGACATCATATTTATTTATAATCTGAGTTATGGCCTGTTTTCTGTAATGGATAGACTTAATGTACTGTTGTAGGATCCGTATCTAACACAGGGTCTGGCACATAGTAGGCATTCAGTAATAATTGCTGAATAAATAAGACCCTACTGGCAATCAGCAATAAGTAGAAAAGTCTTATTTATAAACTGCATAGCTACAGGATAATATATTAAGCATTCCTGGGATATACCGCACGTATGCTGAGACTGAAATTTCAATCTCTTCTCTTTAGTCAAACTGAACAAGAAATACAGAACACATGGAACATTTTAAGTTCTAAAATTCAAACGTTTTAAAGTAAGGCTTACAAAAAATGTCTTTATAGTCCATGTATAATGCATAACTATTTTTCTTTTGGCAAAGCTGAAACGTACTCGTGTGTGCTCAGCTGGGTTTTCCTCCCCAAATACCACATTCAGGCTTGACCTGAAGCACGCTCTTGATTATACCTCCAAGTCAGATCTAAGAAAAAAAATGTAAGAAACTAGACGGTTGAACTTTTTTTTCTGGACAGTGCGGGGGATGAAACCCAGGGCACATGCTAGGCACATATTTTCCCACTGAGCTATACCTCCAGATTGACAAAAACATTTTAGCTGGGCATGGTGGTGCATGCCTTTGATCCCAGCACTCATGAGGCTGAGGCAGGCGGACCTCTTTGAGTTAAAGGCCAACTTGGTCTATATAGTGAGTTCCAGGCCAGCTGGCTTTATAGGGAGACCCTGTCTCAAAAAGATTAAAAAAAAAAAAAAGTATTTTGAGTCTTTACTTGTGGCTTTAAAATTCCCTTTTGCTACCTGATTAGAAGTGCACCCAATTGCACCCACAAGGAAATACACTAATCTGTGCTAATGAATTTGCTTGACTAGTTACTGAAAGCTAAGAAACTCTCTAACCAGTGATTTTCTTTAAAGAAGTTCAAGTCACATTTTCGTTAGGAGCCTTGAGTTTCACCTAATCAATGCAGCAGGAATATGAGACTACGTTAGATTGTAGACTGCAGGCCTAGAGTATGGTTCTAAACAGGACAGAAACTCACTCATGGTAACTGCCAAACTCTAGGGCTTTGTGGGCATCTGTATGAGCTCTTTAACTCAGGTTCAGCACCAATTCAATTTGTGGATAAGACCTTCAAATACAGATGCAGGCATGATCAAGTCATTAGTGGAAAGTGCTGATAAAGAGCATTACGTGAGATTTCTATACCCT